CCCCAAATTTGCCAGTGCCAATAAAGAGGTCAAGCCGCGCACATATAAAACTTATCGGAACCCTGCTCCGACATATCAAAGGGCCCCAAAGTTACGGCGAAGACTACCCAAATTCCAGCAAACGAGAGAGGGCAAGAGACATGAAATTATCGAATTGGCCCCACGAGAACCGTCCGTCATGCCGCAATTAAGCCAGGGACAATACAAAGTGACCAAAAAATGCCAAAAAGCGTGCGTTTCTTGTGCGAAAGGGCTGAGGGAGCGCCCGGGCCCGGGCGTTCCGATGTTCGGAGAGAGTGAAGGCTGACTCTAAGACTTGCAACAAAAAGTTGCGAAAGATGTCGGGTAATGAAGGTCAAGTGCTCCGGCTCTCAGCCTTGCACGCGTTGCGATCGAAAGAAGCATAGATGCATCTTTGCTGTTGAGGATAAGAGGATATCGGTGCCGGAAAGGTGAGTTGTCGGAACCCGTGCGCGTGCAGTGCAGGCAGTTGTCGGGATGAGAAACAACAACTGACTCCACTTTCCAGTTACCTCCGAGAACTTCAGAACCGGAACAGTGAGCATCCAGGCTCAGACCGCTCGACGAGGGCACTGAGCCGCGGAGACGACGTCGAGGACGTGCAGAGTCGGTATGCGGATGCGGATGCGTATGCGACGCCGCATCATACTTCTCTTTCTCAGGGTGAAGATAATGCCGGACAGTTGGAGACCCCGAGCCATGGTGAGTTGTGCTTGTCTTTTGTTGCCAGGTTTGTGCACACAGACGAGAGAAGTCTTATTGACGCGGCCAACGTCGTAGATAGCCCACAACCGATAGGCCCTCCGGCATCCGAGCCGGATACTGAGGTAGGAGATGCTCGTTCGAATCAGGAGGATCACGGCGACTTTGGTCCAGGGTTCAGGCAAAACCCGCTGGTGGACAACGATTACACCTTTGCAAAGGTCGGGGAACGATACTGTAAGCCACATGCTGTTTCTCCTAGTACTGAGTGAGTTGAGCCAAAACTCACACCTCCACAGGGTACATGGGCCCAACATCATCATGGTCATTCTGCCGACGAGTTCTGGCCCTCCTGGGCAAACGCCTACCAGAAGCAGCCCCTGATCCATGGCATCTCCCTCACGAGGGCGCCTTCAGGATGCAATGGACGCCATTAGGTGCCACTGAGACTCCCGATGTCTCCAACCTCCCGCCGCTTGACTACGCCCTCTTCCTCTTCAACACGGTCAAGTTCTACCTTGGCGCCGTCTTCTACGTAATTGACGAGCCATCCTTTCTCAAGAACCTCCATGAGTTGTACGAGGACCCCGCGGGTAAGGCTAGCTCGGCGAGGCTGTGGTATGCACAATACCTCTTAGTTCTGGCGTTCGGCAAGGCATTTGTTGTGAATAGTACTTCACATACGGCACCGCCGGGGGTACAATATGCTGCGAGGGCCATGTCGTTGCTGCCAGATCTATCAGGACTGAATCCGGATGCGATTCCGGCTATCCAGGCGCTTGCTCTGGCTGCGTTGTATTTTCAGTGTTTGGATATGAGGCTGGCTGCGTATCAACATGTAAGACCCTGGATCCCTCTCTGCTCTGGCTTTCTCATTAGTAGAGGTTGCGAGGAGTCGTGTACTAATGACATGCTAGATCGGACAAGCATTACGAATCGGCATTGTTGAAGGCATCTACAGACACATGCCTGAAGAGGTTGTCGGGATTGAGTACTCGAGACGGTGCAACATTGTCTTCTGGGTGGTATACACTCTAGACAGAGAGTTCTCGGCCTTGATGGGAGCGCCGACCTCAATTCGGGACGAAGACATCACTGTGAAACTCCCTTCACAGATGGACAACTCCCTCGATGCACTGAATATGACCCTTCATGTACGGCTATCGCGGCTCATGGCTCGTATTCTTACAAGTGAGTTCCATCAGCCGTAGGACAACGTACACCGAAATTCTTGGTTACTGACATGATGTTACTAGCTATTTACGGTGTGGGCAAAGAGTTTGATGGCTCACTAGTCCCCAATACCCAATCTATCCTACGAGACCTGGCCAGGTTATCACGAGATCTTACCGCACTCCTCGACACTCACTTCCAAGGCTCAGTCAGCCGCGCTTCTAGAATGGCACTGCGACTCATCCTATCATATCACCACGTAAGTACCTTACCTCTACGCACTCTTCCAATGCCATCGTTAATCCCAGAAGTGCGTCGTCCTCACAACTAGACCACTGGTCATGTGCGCCCTCCACATGCACATCGAACACTCCGACAGCCACGCGCGACACCCACAAACAGTCTCCCTAACACCACCAGTCGCATCCCTCCTCCAATCCTGCGTCGACTCGGCGCAAACCGTCCTCCGAACCCTCCGCGTGCTCGGTGACGAAGACCTCCTCGAAGCCTTTCTGCCCTTCCAGCTTGAAGACGCATTCTCCTCCGCCTTCCTCCTCTACCTCATCCGGGTCATCAGCCCTTCTCTCCTGCACGACGATTCGTGGTGTGAGAATATCAAGTGCGTGCTAGACAAGATGATTTCAAAGGGGAGTCTCGTGGCGCCGCTGAGAAAGCTGGAGCTGAGTCAGTTGGAGCACATCATGTCTGCGCTGACGCCTGTGGGCGAGGAGCCGCCGACGCCGCCGCCGACGAGTGCGGCGCATCACCATTCTCAACATCATCATGGGCACGGGCACGAGCATGGGTCATTCTTGGACCAGATGGAGGAGGCTGGGTGGGATATCTTTGATACGAGCGGGATGGGCGGTCTTTCTCCGCAGGCGTTACTGGATTTGGCGGAGAGGTTGGATGTGGAGGACTTGATACAATCTGTTGATGGGGATGGTGATAGAAGATAATAACGTACTTACGGTAATCAAAAGTTGAATGACAAATGGGATAGGACAATGGCAACGAACGGCTCTTTGGTGATCTATTTCCATGATCTCGTCTCTGTCCCAATCATACGCTACTTGAGGATTGCTCTCGGCATAATGAAAGAAAGACATCTTCCCCGGTGGGGCTACATCTCTTGGTGCTCATGCTAGGGGTAGAACTCTGGTACTCTCGCTGACCCTGTCATCGAGTAGGCTGTGGGCGTAGTTGATTGTTGACCTTGAGCCACTCCGCCACCAAGCCTGATCGACCTGACCAACCGACCTAGGAAGACGCCTGCTGTGCTGGTGACAGAAACGGCGCTGGAGGCACCCATATTGGCTTTTTGTGTATTCAGGTGGCCGAATACGTTGGGTCCAACATCGTGAACTACAGATTTGCTAGCATACTCAGACATTGATAGTTTACAAAGACTCGCGAATAGCCGACTTGAACTATATCGAACATCCTATGTCAGCTTGATGCTTCACACCTATTTGCGGGTACCTTAGTTAAATCTAAGAGCAGGACGGCAACTTACCGGAATGACCTGAGCCTTCTCGAGGTCCCAGACGTCGTTCTTAGCATAGACGTCGCCTCTGATGAGTTCCCAGGCTTCCTCGGCGTCCTTGACGGTGTAGATCATCACGCTGCCCTTGAAACCGGGGGTTTGGCCCTCGACGGGATGTTCCTTCTCAAACATGGCGCCTATCATATTCATGAGCACGAGAATCGCGACGAACACCGAAGGAGGGATGGCGTGTCAAGCTTGGATACATACCACCGACAGCAATCTTTCCGTTGCTCTTGTGGCCCTGGGCATTCTCGAGATGCGTACTGAGACAAGTCAGCAATCGGCCCGGAACTACACTCAGCCTCTTATAAGAGACCTGTTCCAAGGACTAGGTCACATACGGTCTGACCTCCAAGCGCCGGGCAAGCGCATCGGGCTTGTCGGGAAGGATGCAGAGGAACTCCTTGGTAGCCATTGTGCGGTAGCGATTGAACGGCGAAGAGACGAGTCTAGTAGTAACAAAGGGTCTCCGAACTGCGGGGACTAAGCTGCTTCTCAGAATTCCGACGGACATTGACATTATTGCAATCAGGGAGGGGAAAGCTTCACACGGAGAGATCAATCACGGCGTCATGTGACCGGGAAGTGCGGAGGTGGAGCGGTTCGAGTTCGGAGTTTGAGAGGGAATGGCGGGGCACGGTCTCTGTTTGGCAGCTCCGATGCCGGAATTTGGTGCCGAAAGTAGCCGGCAGTGTGTTGGGAATACCAGGCTACGAGTCTCCGGAACTTGCCTCCATCTCAGTGTTCTTGCGACGTTTTGATAGATTACTGGTGAGTAATGTTAAGAGAGAAGGTGTTCCGATGAACTATTCGCTTTATCCCTAAATGTGTATGACCAATTGCTGGTTCATGATCAGCATTGAGTTTTCAACTGACGGATATGACTATACTCAGGTGCTGCAGCTAAATGATGTTGTGCATTTGAGTCCGTTGCCTCGGCTCACGATGGAGGCATAATTTATCAGTGATTGTCACCGATAATGACACAGAGCATACGCCTATCTTTATCTTACATTAAATGTGCTTGCTAGTCGTTACCCAAGGAGGTGCTTCATACTGAAGCTGATCTTATGCATCAGATGGTGCAAAAATGCAAAAGAGAACGGAAACACCTTGAAATGTGTTGATATGTCAGGTCGTACCCGGGTTCGAACCGGGGTTACCAGAAGTTTGGATATGGTCAAAATCTGGAGTGATAACCGCTACACTATACAACCTCTAGTTGTTCTCGTGGACCCATCGCCTGAGTGGAGGCTGGTTGATGCGACTCCGAAGCGAGAATCCACAATAAGAACGACCAAGCGCTGACTGTGTCTCGGTTATGACCAAACGACGCAGACGCGTCTGACCAGAAACCACATTGTGACTGATCGTCCAAACCTCGACGACTATCTACGACGTCACGACTTTAGGCTAGTCAGTAAACCAGCTGCACAACTACATGTACATACTTCAAGACAAGCGGGTAACAGAAGCCCTTAGCACTTAATCTCTATTTGTCTCTTTGACCCATCACCCTTCTGCGCTAAGTAATAGTAAGGTAGGCTGAGCTAGTTTAAACAATACCATTATTCAGCGACGCGTCGACAGTAAACTGATACTCAGACCTCCCATGCAACGCAATGCTCTGATTCCCATAAACAAACTGTCCCTGCGTACCGACTGGTGCCCGAATAGTAACACTAATATCACCATCGCGCACCCTCCACTCAACACTCAACTCACCTTCAAACGCAGTGACAACCTTGGCGCTCGCCCTCTTCAGCCCCATCTCGACACCACTCGCAGGCGAAACCACCCAGTTCCTGTACCCAAACCCGTCAACACCCGTAGCAGCCCGCAGCCCCGTAGCCCACTCCGTTAGCACATACGTCGCGGCGCCGCCCCACGGATGACTCAGGCTCGTGAACAGTCCCAGGCCGGGCTGTTGCGTCGCGGCGTTGACGTACTCCCAGCTCGCGCCGACCGCGCTCTTGTTCTGCGCTGCGGTCGTGTCGCCGGGTAGCATGGCGCCCCAGAGACTCTCCATCAACTCTTTCGCTGCCTGCGTCTCGTTGCCGATGAACAGCGCTTCCAGCAGGAAGCCATTGGTGTTGGGCGAGATGTTGACGCTCGAGTCGTTGGAACTCACTGCCGAGGTATCCTTGTATCCCGGTCCCAGCTTCAGGCGTGATACAGCGTCAAGAGACCGCGATGCGCGTGTTGCATTCGCCACGCCTGAAGTGATGCAGAACGCCGTTGCAGCCACAGAAATGCCGTCCAGATCAGCCGGCGAAAGACCGTACGCGCCTGCCTCCTCGTTCCAGAGACGCTTGTTGATCGCAGTCGCAAGCGATGTCGCCGCGTCCCGGTATCGCGTAGCAGATGCCGTATCATTGAGAGCATCAGCCACGTCAGCAGCACCGTTGAGAGTCTGAACGGCCTCGCATCCGATCGCGGATCCCCCGTCAGCGGGCCCTGTAAACGCGAACCCTCCATCGAAAGTTAACAGCCCTGTCGTGGAGTTGATCTGTGGCAGAAGCCAGTCGAGCACCCTCTGCCATCGCGGCCACGTGGATCTTGCCCACTCGAGGTCGTTCGTCAGACGCACGTGGTCGTTGAAGGCCATGAGGCCTAGGAGCTGGTAATCCTGCAGCCCGAAGCTCCCCGCCGGCGCTAACGCATCGGCGACGGAGGAGAGGTTGTAGCCCAGATTAGGCGAGATGTTCATCTGCCCGTTTGCGATTTGTGAATCAAGTAGCAGCTGCAGGGTCCCCCTAGCCTGCTCCGTCTTTGACGTGCTGACGGCGATGATGCGTGCCGTGTGGTAAAAGTCGCCGAGCCAGATGAGGCGGTCGCGCTTCGGACCGTCAAGGCAGGCGGCTTCACTGTTAGCTTGAGTCCCGTATTCGGCGAGGATGTCTTCCGCGTTGCCGGTGAGGGTGTTTGAGTAGAGCGTGGAGCCGTTAGCGGTGTCGTAGACGTGCACGTTCTTGAAGTAGGCTGCCTGGTCTTGGTACGCCCCGAAGCCGAAGGAGCCGCTGAAGTCAGGCGACCCGGTGTAGGAGACTGTGCCGGAGCTGAGAGCCCACGGGTAGTCGGAGCGCGAGATGTTGAGGATCTGGGTGTCGTTGATAGAGACTGCTAGGTGGCCGGTGGGAGCCATGGAGGCTTTGATGCGGTACCACTCATTCTCCTTCACTGTGAACGGGACCTCGAAGACGTCGAGCAAGTAGCTTGTGAGTGTTGTCTGGTTCACAAAGTCAGGACCGTATGCCAGTGAAATAGTGTTGGGCGGTGTCAGAGTCTTGTTGACGTTCGCGAAGGTGCTCGACTCGGGAAGCTCGCCGGTGAGGAGCATGGTGTATCCATTGCCGGCGATGACTCCTCCCTGTGTATCTCATCAGCATTGGCTTCCCCCCGGACCTTACGTGAGTCTGAACTTACCGTTACCCACCAGCTGCCTCCCCTCTCGATCTTGGTATCAAACTCAAGAGTGTAATTGCTCCACGTTGTGCCCTTGTATGTCACCGAGGGTCTGGTGCTACGCGCAAACACCCCGTTCTCTTCAGTGACCTCCCAGATTGTCGTTTGCGTACCCTTGTCAAAGCAGGCCGCCGTGGCTGCCCGAGCACCAAGCTTCCAGACCTCGTTCAGAATTTCATCGTCACTCTCAAACTGCCCCGGAAGTTTCTCTGGCTCGATAGTATCGATCGTCGCCTCGAAGCCCACGCTCGAGAAAGAGACAGTGCCATTCGTCAAAAGTCTGATGGATTGCCATTTCTGCCCTCCTTGAATGAGCGGGGATTGGACTCGGCCGACAGACGTGATGTTGAACGTCTCGACGCGGAAGCTGTTGCTGAGCTGATTGGAAAAGGTGTACGGCCCGTCGCCGAACGGATGATCGAGCCCGTCAAAGTGCTCAGTGTACTTCACCTCGATCTGGGCCGGGGCGCTGAGGGCGGAGACTTCAAAGATCGGATAACCCGCTCTCTCGGCTCCGTAATCCAAGGTGGCCAGCGGGATTTCCGGGCTTAGGGTGAACGGGGCGAAAGGGGAGGTTTGCAGCTGTGCTGCCGTGCCGGTAGCGATGCCTTTGGCCGTGAAGCTTCTGATTGAAATCTTGAAATTAGGGGTGGGCTCCTTGCCTGGGAGAAGGTAGCTCTTGGTGTCTTACCTCGTGGTCGAGTTGAGGCTTGACGCATTGGCGACAACACCAACGGCACCGGCTGCGAGCGCCAGCAACAAACGTGAAACTGCCATTCCTACTTCTGGAACCCAGTGCTATGGGCAGGAAAGATCTAAACGACAGTTTGAAGAGGCAAAGCAGCAAAGTTTCCTCTCACAACGAAAGACTCATCGAAGACGAACATCCCGGCCCTAATTTCCTCAGCTTGTGGCCGCCATCTTGTAGTCTGGAATATTCGCACGATCCACACCGAGCAGATTACGTCGCGTCGCCCTCGCAACTGAAAGCATGACTGCTCGGGCCATCGGTAGCCGAGCAGAGCAGTCCTTGTCTTCGTCTCGTGTGCTTATTAGTGTCATTTCGATCACCATTGAATGTTAACATCCCTCGCGATATCCACAGAGGAAACTTGTGGTTAGGGTTGCTCGCCGACAAACACCCCGATCAGGCGCGCTAGATGCAAGTTCCCCGGACCCAGGCGTTTGTTTGTGGGGAAATGCGCGGGGAAGGCTGTTCGGGGCAGCATGCCGGCTGTGTGAAGCACTTTTATCGGCACTTCATCGCGGTGAAACGTTGTCGATTGATCCCCGGACCGAACCGAGCCGATGAAAGAGGTGCGGAACATCATATGAATGTTATGAATGCAGCACGAGACGACGAGCCAAGGATCGGACTGACTTGCGGGAACGAGAACATAAAAGAAAGTCCTTTCTCTGCCGTTGCCCGCGTTTCCAGGGTCTATCGAAGCTGTAACATGTTCTTGCTGCAATGATGGCGATCATGGGAAATAGGTACTTGGGATTGCGAAATGTAAGACTCAGTTCAACTACCTTAGGTATCAATCGCAATGACTATAAAGAAACGCATTAATCATCAAGGTTACAAGAAAAGTGCTTCCCTCTCCACGCCTCTCCGTTAACCCTTGTTGTCATTCTTCTTCTCGTCCAGACAGATGCACAGGGCACACATGAGCGCCATATCGACCCCCGGTGCCACCGTGAGCGCGTACGTCTGCTTCCCACCGAAGAAGTCGCGCGCCCGGAGCATGTTTCTGTCAATTCGCCCCAGCACCTGGCCGGTATTCGTGTCAACAATATCGGCCTGTGTCGATAGCCAATTCCCCTTCATCTCGAGCGATTCCGTCTTGCCTGTCTGTGGTGAAACGAACGTCGCGGTCGCTTTTGAGCCGATGACTGGTGCAACCCACATGGTTAGCTGGGTACTCTTGTCCGCTATGACTAGCACCAGGGAGATAGGTAGGGGTAGCAAACTCACGAGCAAAGCTATTCTTCACCTCCATAATCTTGTTGCCCTTGGGATCCTGCGCCGCAAATGTCGTGTGGAGGTGCAAGTGCTCCTTGACGATATCAAATAGGTGATTCCCCGACATATCATAGACAGCCTTGCGGCCCGAGATTGACAGCGCCTTGCCCTGCACACGGAGGATCGGTTGGCCATTGGCGAGCTTGATGTCGAAGCTGTCGCCGGTGATGGAAAGGATCTTTTCCTTGAGCACGAGGGTCTCGCTCTGGCGCGCCGTCAATTGCGGGAAGATGCCGACCGAGTTTCCGGCTTGGGGCAGGCTATGAACTGCTGGGGCAGCCATGGTGCTTATTTCGTGTGTTTTCTCGTCGGGGTTTTACTGGGTTTTGTTATCCCGTTTTCTGTCGTGAATTCTGAGATCGCAATGGGAGTTGATAGAAAGAATAATCTTCACAACGCTTCATGCAGCGGAGACGAGGGATGACGGCTGGTTTTAAGTAAGACGCATGTGAAAGCTCATGCGAATCAAAGCTCCTACCGTCAGCTTGAACCTCGACACTTTGGAGATCTGCTGGCTGCCTGCGGCTGAGTAGACCATTGGGGGCAGTGCTTATTGCTTAGCGCCAACATTCGGTTTCGCAGGCTCACAGGGCGATGAGACACAACACAAGTACCTGAAAGAAGGGATGATGAGGTGAGGGGCACAAGGAGCTGGTTCGTTGAGAGCTTGATGTCAGACTGTCAGATGAGGCTCGCGATGACGTCAAAGGATGAAGCTGTCTGTCCACTGGCAATGCGGAGGGAAGCTCAAGCAATGCAGAGATCAGACCCTTTTTCTTCCCGTTTGACGTCTCAAAAGAATGGGCGAGTCTCACGCTAATTAGCTGTGATGAAGCGCTAAGTACTTCGCGGTAGAAGAGGGGCTGCGTACGCCACATTATTCCCGGCTCGCAAGTTGCCTGTGGTTTAACGGTTTCATTGCAGCTCTTGGGAAGTCATGCCTACTCACCAAACTACTTACCTTGGGAAATGTACGTTGGTCAAGTTACAAGTAGCTTGGGCATATGAAGACACCATCCCATCCGAGGCCGAAACCGAGAAACAATTCTCCCCAAAGTTTGGCACAGCCACAAACATGCGGCGCATGGTCGCTCCAGCCACTCATCTACGTATTAATACAAGTAGCTCTACAGCGCCTCGGTGCGCCACAGTTGAGCATCGCGTGGCTGAAATGCTTAAGGCACACTCGGCCTGGACAGCTGCTCGTGGCAAGAGTGTCAAGAAAGTGGCGTCAAGATCTCGATGATGGGAAACGAGGTTATTGATAGTTAATGGTAGCATTAAACACATATTAGAGTTGAACGTGATGTTTTTCACGATATGTACAATAACTGGTCATATCAAGCAAGGCCACATTAAAATCTCACAAATATAATCTTCACGGGAATGGAAAGAGAGGACCATTAGATTGATTCATCGTTTTCTGGAAAATCGTTTGGAAGCGAATGCAAGATTATCATGGCTGTGTCGATCTGTAGTTAATTGTGACCCTTCTTAAATTACATCAACATTACCCTTCGCTTCAAAGTAATTGATGAGATAGAAACGTGACATGAGTTGCTTTCCATCTCTCAAGCAATCCATCGCCCGGCCAGCATTCCAAAGGAACCTATACTCAGAAGTCCAGAGGAACGGGATCAATGGCCCTCAAGCTCCTTCTCAGTCCAATCCCACAACTCTTTGGCCGCTTTATCGTCGTACAAGTTCGCCTCCTTATACTCCTTGAACTTCGGATTGTAAAAGCCGCCGCTCTTGACACTGGCACTCGCAGCCGTGCTGGCCCAAAGCTGAGCTCGCGCACCCGCGTGGACGTCGGTCAGGAAGATCGACCCAAGTACACTAACCACTCCGCCGACCCAGGGCCTTCTCTTTCTGAAGTCGTCAAAGATACCGGTGTTGACGACTCCAGGGTGGACTGCAACGAACTTGATGGAGGGGTAAAGTTGGCTCAGCGTGCGGGTGTGGTAGTAGTCTGCGAGCTTGGACTGCCCATAGCGAGCCAGACTGGAGATGTCGTCGAGTGGGGTCTTGCACTTTGAGAGGAGAATCCCCTCCGAGGGCGCTTGTTTGAACAGCTCTGAGCTCAAGTTGACGACGCGGACGTCAGATCCTGACTGTTCGGCAGTTTTTTTGAGGATCGGAAGCAGCAATTTAGTGAACAGAGCCGGACCCATGTAATTTGATCCAAACTGAACTTCGTATCCATCTGTTGTCAGGCCTGGTGGTGTAGCCATCAGACCAGCGTTGTTCATCAAGATGTCGAGACGGTCGGCTGAGGTGAGGAAGGCGTCGGTGGACTTCTTGATCGAGGCGAAGGAACCTAAATCTAGCTCGAGGTACTTGATCTTGTTCTTGGCTGCCGGCACGGCTTGTTCCACCTCCTTGATGGCGGCATTACCACGGGCTTCTGTCCTAGCTGTGAGGTAGATTGCTGCGGGGTTATGCTTCGCCAGCTGAATAACACTTTCTTTGCCGAGACCGCTGCTTCCACCTGTAACGATGATGACCTTGCCGGCCAGGTCCGGTATGTCCTTCTCTGGGGAAAACGTCATGGTAACGTCGTGGCGTGAGCTAAAGTTACCAATGGGGGCGAGTTTATGGAGTAGTGAATGAAAAGAAATGGGCGCGTTGTTATATGGCACTGTCTAACTTGGGTATGTTGATTCGATGATGTTTCGAATGGGTATAACGAGGTAAAGGGGTGTCTGAGAAGCCAACGTGATGCTACAAATCTCTAGGTAACAGCGACGGTTAGCAGAGCTAATGGGTCATAATATACTAATTGGTCAAGTTTCAGAGCCGCGGCCAATATCAGCTGATTGGTTGACATCCCGCCTTGTCTCGGAGACTTTGTCTTTGCTGCATCGTTCATGGCTGCGGCCTTGTGGTTTTCGAAGAGCTTGGAAAGCCGGCGCCGAGTTGAAAACTCGCTGACCAATCCGATCAGCAGTCCATAAATTAATACAATCGACCAAGATTTGTTATCTCAAAATGCATGAAAAGTTTTTGCGAAATTGCGACTTATCTTGGTTTGGCAGGCGCCCCGTAGCCGGCGATACACGAATGCGGAAGCGGAACTTGCATTGGTCCGATTCTATCAGCCCAACGTGACGCGTTCACTAATCATTTTCAGCTGACGCTGACTGCAGCTGAGTCGGAGTGTATTAGTCGTAGGGCCCGAGTTGGTCGCGCGTATTACAGCAGGACAAAGCTCTGTTCAAGCCAATCGATATCTGCGCGCCCATTGGCCAAAATAATTCAATGGTTGTCCCCTAAACCCTCAGAGCACGGTTTCTTTGAGTTGTGAATTTGGCGACACATGTTCCGATACGCAATTCTATTGGGATTTTGCATAGTCACGATAATCCCAATCTAGGAATACTCATGGGCTGACGTTCGGTATTCATTGTATCAAATCACGACAGATAAAATCATGGAGGCTTGGTATTAAGTTTATCTTATTCAAACCTAGCACGGGATGATGTTGAGAATGAGATGGTGACAAAATTTTACGGACTACTTCAAGGTGATGGGAATGGAGACGAAGCAGCGGCTTACTTTGATAAGCTACGTACCAATACTCCAATCTTCCAAAGTTTAACTAAGGTACATGAAGAAATTTCCGCAACTGAGATATCAACAACACTGAGGTAGGCAAAGTCCCAAACGTTTTTCACAACACAGGCCGTTCAAACTGATTTTCCCCCTTAGGTGTAAAGACGGGCAATCGTCTCAGGCAAATTCAGCTCCAAGTCCACGGCTGAGACGTTACGAGACAGCAATGCCGACCTCTTCGCGATATCCTGCGCCTCCGGGTCAAATTGTTGCTGGAAGAAGTCCTTGGTATCCTCAATGACCTGCTCAAGCGACGGCGCCGAAGCCCTGTTGATCGTCTTCTTGCCGCCGCTGAGAGCTGACAGAGGGAACCAGCTGAAGCGCTGGGCGAGCTCGTCGATGTAACCGTACATTTCAGCGGAGGTGTCGAATGCCTTGTTGATCCATCCGATGTTCGCGGCGTCCTCTGCAGTGATGTCGTTGGAGCTCAGGACATACTCCATGGCGCGGCCTCTGCCGATGAGACCCGGGAGGAATTGGCTGCCGCCACCGCCGGGGAACAAGCCGCTTCCGACTTCGGGTTGGCCGAAGAGGCTCTCGCCCTTTGTGGCGAAGCGCATGTCGAGAGAAACGAGGAACTCGTTGCCGGCCCCGCGGGCGCGGCCTTCCACAGCCCCGATGGTGACTTGGTGCAACTGGGAGACGTTGTAGATGAGAGTACCAAATTCTTTGCCAAATGCAGCTTCAAGATGTCAGTTATTATATCATGAAACCCAGAGTAACTTCAATCGGAGTTTTTGGATGCACTTACGATCTGCCAACTCAGGCAGGGAGAGATCTAGATGCGCCATGAAAAACCTAGGAACATCGCTGTTGAAGATGACGACCTTGGTTTCGTTATTGACCTGGAGGCGAGACACTAAATCGGTCAAATCGTTTTGGGTATCCAGGTTCCACAAGTTGATAGGAGACGAAGGATTGTGAAAGGTCACCGTCAAGACGCTGCCATTTTGAGCTGTCTTTAATCCGGTGTAGTCGGGAAGGTCTATGCAGTATGCGGGCCGTACTAAAGTAGCAGCCAAAGCCAGGCCAGAGAAGATAAAAGAATGCATTATGAGTTTTGAGAGACTAGCAGAGAGCTTGAGACGAGGATTCGAGGAACTGATCGACTGATGAGAGACTTGGGATGAACTAGTCTTTTCTAGCAGCCCGTTGCTTTAAATACAGGCTGGAGTTCCTCATAGCAAGGATACCCGTTGTTACTTGCTTATAAAACAAGTCATTTAGAGCGTCGTGCGAGTTATATGGAGAGATTAGTGATTATTTGCCGAACCCCTTTCTCTGAGAATCTGAAAGAAGCAATCCAAAGACCAGCTAGTCATTCACTCAGTGCGCTTACAAATAGCTCTCAAAGATATTTTCCCTTCAGCATCCAGCCTCAAGACTTGAGAATTTGCTTGGATCGAATCAGTGATACCTGAAGACAGCCCAAATACATAGTAGCCTATAAAACAATTTAAAAGGATTTTCTCTAGTATCTCGTGTTATTTGGGAGCGTTAAGATCTAAGCACTCTGTAAATAATATAGATATAGAAGGTGGTGTGGTCCACTAGACCACTCTTCCATTTACCTAAGGTAAGGTAGTACATCTCCTAGCGAAATCTTGGGCTTCTATCCATTCTTCACATTCCATACCACTCACGTAGCAGGACCATCAACTCTTGACTATCACACCCACCCCACGGTTGCTCTACTGATGTGTGTACCGAGAGCACGCCTGCGGCTTTTCACGCCATGTACGGTTTAGGAGTTCAGCCGCAAGGGCTGCAGCATCCTTGCCGCCACGGCATTGAACAAAAGTGACAACAAGAACGCCACATACCATTCGAGAGGTCAGCCGCAAGGGAAGCGCTCCCTTGCTGCCATGGCGTTCAAGACAACGCCACATAGCCCCCGCTCTTGTTTGGCTGAAAGCATGCGTTGTACGGTTATAACATTCTGATGTTGACCTCTGAAGCTGCCAATCTTAGTATTGAACGTTGGTACAAACATAGCGACGCTCTTTCGATGTACAGTTAAATCTGATCTTATCGTGTCCAACACCTACACCGACTTCCTCTGAATTGCTTCTGCCGTTGCATTTGTCTGGTCGTCAACTAGACCCACCAAAAACCGATGGAGAACATTCCAAAGATTGTCGAAGCCATCCGCCAGCCTGCGGAGGTGCTCTCCCAACATCCAGATGATCTTGATGTGAAGCAAGCACTTGCAAAAGCCATCAATGCTGCAACGAGAGCTTTGGAACAGCTCACTAGTGTTTCCACGGGATCGCTTCAAGACATCAATCTAATTATCGAGGGGAACGAACAGGTTTTATCGGTCGTGCCAGAAAAGCATGCGTTCCGTGCGACTTTGTTGGGCGACCTCTCCCAGGCATATTATCAACGATTCTCCATGCCGGGATCCGACGGAAACGTAAACGACCTGAACAGGGCTGTGCAACTTGCCGAAGAAGATGTTCCAGCCACGCGCCCAGAAACGGAGCAGCGGATGTTAGCTTTAGCCAACCTCAACCAAATGTTACAAAACCGGTACGACTACACGAGAGATAAGCAAGACATCAATCGGGCCATCAGCGTGGGTGAAGATGCGGCGGAGAGGATACCCAAGGACTCGCGTTACACTGCCCTGATTTTGTGTCGGCTTGCTATCTCGCGTGGTAAGCTGTTCGAGCTCACACACAACCTAGACGACGCCGAGCGAGCTCTCAACACGGCTGAGGCCGCTGTAAAGACAGCAAAATCACAGGGGGACGTGCCTGGTGTGGCATTCGGTTCCAACACTCTAGCACGAATTCTGGGGAGGCGGTTCGAGCAAACAGCGAACATTGAAGATCTGGATCGTGCAGTCGACCTTCTCACTGCCACTGTGCCACTGATTCCAACGAATCAGATAGACTATGTGGTTGGTGCAGGCTACCTGGCAACCTTGCTGGGTATCCGTTACGAGCAACAAGGGGATGTTGACGATCTCAGTGCAAGCATTTCATACACGAAGAGTGTGCTGCAGTTGATAAGCAATGACGATACTGAAAGACCTGTTCAGTTGTTTAACTTGGCGAACAGGCTTGTTGAGCGAGCGCAATATACCGGTGTCCTCAGCGATCTCGACGATGCCGTTGACTGCGGGCGACAAGCTTTGCGCCTGGTGCGTGCAAATCATCCAGAACGGACCAATTGGCTCAGGGGACTCAGCCAGTTCCTGGGTATACGGTTCAGCATGGGTTCAAAGCATCCACAGGACATTCAACAAGCAATCGACCTCAGTAGAGAAGCGGCTCAGGTGGTTGACGGCGATGACATGGGGATGCGCGCGGCAGTGGCGAACGTTCTTTCAAATCTGCTGAAGGAAAAGTACGATCACTATGGCGAAGCTGCCGACTTGGACGAGGCCATTAATATCATTAGAGAAGTCATTCATGGTGGTCTACCAGAAAGTCTTCCTGAGAGAGTGTACCTGGAATTCGGCTTGGGGGACGCGTTGCATGCTCGATTTGACCATACTGGCGACGTTACGGATCTTCAGAATTCTAGAGAGGCCTTTCAGCGAGCATGGGAGTCTCGAGCTGCACCGCTCACGATTCGAATTGATGCTGCGGTTCGGGCTGCTGATGTTGCCAAGGAGCAGCTGGAGAGTCACGATTCCTCGGATCCATCGTTGCTACTCCAATACTGGACGGAAGTCTCATCGGACCTCGACCGTGCTCTCAGTCTTCTCCATGCTTTGAGCCCCCGACATATGCAGAATGTCAACAAGCAACAAATGCTGAAGCGATTCGCTGGTCTTGGCGCCAACGCTGCCGCCGCCGCTTTGAATGCAGGGAAGGAGGCCTCGTATGCTCTGCAGCAGCTAGAGCTCGGGAGGGGCGTGATATCTGGTCTTGTTCTTGATCTCCGAACTGATCTGTCATTTCTTCGAGAGGAACACTCAGAATGGGCAGATGATCTTTCCCGTCTTCGCAGCATATTAGATTCCGGTCATTCCGCACTATTAACGACTGGCTCGTTGGAGTCGGGTTCACAAGCTCGCCGCCGAGCAGAGATGGACCTTGAAAATCTTCTAACCAAGATCCGCAGCGAGAAAGGTTTCGAGAGATTCTTGATGCCGCCTACCGTCGAGCAGCTCATGGAAGCCGCCGACTCGGACCCTGCTGTTGTGGTAAACGTGTCTTCGTTCCGATGCGATGCTTTTATCGTTGATAAGCACCGCATCAAGCTGCTGGAGCTTCCCCTTTTGCGCCTCGAAGACATACAGTCATACGCCAAGGGACTGAAGGACCGTCCCGACTCGCTGTCTTCGGTGTTAGAGTGGCTATGGTCCTCAGCAGTGCATCCAGTTCTCATCGCACTTGGTCTCGACCGCCCTCTCCCTCTGGATGAAGATTCATGGCCGCACATTTGGTGGATACCGGTTGGCCCCCTCAACAGTTTACCACTGCATGCCGCTGGATACCACAACAAGCACTCTGGAGAAACAGCCCTCGATTGTGTCATGTCGTCATACAGCTCATCGCTAAAGTCTCTGCTTGCCGGCCGTCGCCAGAAGATTCCGCAGTATGATTCCGGCCCAATCAACGCGTTGTTGGTTTCAATGAAGAGCACACCACGCAGATCACCACTGCAGTACGCAGAGCCCGAAGTCGCCATGCTGCAGAAACTCTGTCCGGCCTTGAATGCGACGCCTATTCGTCCCATCCAAGACAAAGTAAATGTCTTGGAACAGCTCGGCACATGCGATATCTTTCACTTTGCGGGTCACGGCACGTCGAACTCATCGGACCCCTCCCAGAGTGCCCTCCTACTCCGCGACTGGGAGAAGAGCCCGCTGACGGTGGAAGACCTCCGCAACGAGAAGCTGCAAGAGAAGCCACCATTTCTTGCCTATCTCTCTGCTTGTTCCACAGGGGCCAATGAGGTGCTTGGGTTGGTTGATGAAGGGATCCATCTCGGCTACGCATGCCAGCTTGCGGGCTTCCGTCATGTTGTAGGCACCCTATGGACCGTGTCTGATCCCTTTTGCGTCAACGTAGCTCGGAAGTTTTATGAGACGATCAAAACTGAGGGGAAGACAGATGCAGCGGTCCATCGAGGACTTCACTTAGCATTGAGGGAGCTACGAGATGTTCAGGTTGGCGCAACTACCCGCGGCTTTAGCAATGGTGCTATTGATGTTGTAATCCCAGATGACGAGGGAGAAGGGATGGCCATACCAGGAAGAGAGAATGTCGACAGTAATGATGACGGTAATGATGGGGGCCGCACTGCACAGAGTTCTGGGTCTAGAAAAGGAGACGGAGTAGATGATGAGGAACCGTCCATGAATTCGCTTTGGGTTCCATTTGTTCACTTTGGTGTCTGAACAAACCCCTTTGTCCAATGAACTGTACTCAAAACCTCATAGCTTATGGGTATTATTTCTCTTCATCATCAGAATCCTGAGGCACAATATGGCCCCCCTCCCCAGCTCTGCGAATGCGATGCCAATCATCTCCAAATTGCTCAACCGAAACCGTGTAGGTGCCATTTTCATCATCGTGGACAATGAAAGCCTCGTCACCGCCACGCCAATTCTTCTCTGACTCTTCCCGCAGAGACCCAAACAACCCAGTCTTGATCTTGACGCCAGCAAAAAAGACAACGCGTTTTTGGTCCTTCCAAGTTGACCAGCCGCTGCTCGATGCGCCCCTAACCCACGACACCTTGGGACCGACCTTGGCAACGTCAGCAGCGCCGACATCACACCCAACCGTGGCGCTGCCCTTGGAGCTATCCCATGTGGTAATCCCAACATCAGCCGACGAGTAAGTCCAGGTCACGGCACAGAGACCATGTTTCTTCGCATCAGGATACTTGGCAAACAGCACCTTGGCATGGATCTGAAGCCACGCAAGAAACGGATCGCGAAAGTCAAACCCTTCGGACACAATCTCGTCCCCGCAGAGCAACACAGCCCCAAAGCTGCCCGCGGTGCTGTACTTGAAAACAGCAGCAACCTCGACTGGAAGACCCACGGCCGCTCCGCCCACGCCCGCTTCTAGCTCCACGCTTGTCTCGGTGACTTTGTCTGCCTTCAGTGGCCCGTACCGGCGCGGGTCGGGCGGGCTGCGCTGCAGGTATCCCAGCGGGGCGAGCCCGGCGGCCTTAACGGCCTCGGCGTCGGCTAGGTCGAGGATGGGGTGCCACCGCTGGTACTCATCATCGAGGTAGCCCAGCATACCCGGTCGCAAGCGGGAGAAGGGGGCTGGCTCATAGAGCGCGTAGCCGAAGCGGTGACGGCGCATGGCACTGCGGTAGCTTTGGGCTAGGCTTGGGTTACCCATTTTTGGTTGTAAGTGTTGGTCTTCTTTGAGGGGTTTCAACGTTCGATGTGGACTACCGAGCTGGTTTCGGCGTGGTAAGGAAAGGATTATGCCGTAGAGACCACGATGCGATGTCGATCTCAGTCTTGCTAGGCGAATGAGCAGGCAAGTAATACTTAAGTTTTCAGCTGAGAGAGGCGGCCTCACATGCTTTGCTAGCTGGTGGCAAGATAGGTACCCAACCAGGTCTTTCTGTTGGGCATTGTCTCACTGTAGCATCCGAAAGCTCCACAATCTGCCAAACCCACGACATATGATTTGAGAGGAAGCGAGCAAAGCAAGCCAAGAAAAACACGGTGCAGCGGATTTCTGTATCGGATTGACACAAATATGATGATTGTCGGCTAGAGCGCGGTCTGGTGTGAGACTGCATGTGGTGCTTTACTTTCACGAGGCATGTCTGAACGTAAAGGCGAGGCTCTGGAGGGTGGTTTAGGATGTATTCCTCATGAGTTACCGATGCAGGAATTGAGGTTCAGCGACGTCATCCTTTGAGCAATGTGAGTGTAATACTCCTATATTCTCTAGCCTTGGCTGTGCTACCCTCAGGCGATTCGAAGTTGTCGTTAGTTTACTAAGGCTGACGAGAAGCTGAAGTCTACAGTTTTGAAATTGCCACTATAGATAGGTTGAAAGGCATACCTTTATCAAGATGTAAAGGCCCCCAGTCACTGTCACAACTTCCCCATGGCCAGCGACTCTTACAACTGCAGGGTCGCTCGATTTGTTACAATTGACGACGGAAGCATGGATCGACAACTCCCCTAGTCTGAATGACCGCTTACGATCTACGTATCTACGACTAGATTACGAGCCCACACACCATGACTGATACAGGTACCACTGGAATCGCGGATATATCGTTCCTTTGTCCTGGTTTCCAAGGAGGCCACAAACTGATCATGTGGCGGTGAGAATCACCTTAGTGTTGATGGTCATTCTCAGCAGCAGGGTCCATGTTGACATCATCCCAGTCAGCGAAGACGGCGTCGCCAATGCTAATAGTTCCCGTAGCAATGGACTGACCCTTCCCACTCTTCGCCTCCTCGTACGTCTTGTACGCAGACACATTGTGGTCGAACCCCTTCTTCAGGGAGAAGCCTGGAGCTTCAAGATTCAGGACATGCTTCTGTTTGTCTGACTCCTGTACTGTTGTCGGCCTGTGTGGTTTGAAGTAGGGTCTATTGTTAGTCATGTTCTCATAAAAGGATGCTGCATTAAGGGGAAAGAGGCACTTACAAAGGCTGCAAGCTGGCTTCAAACACATCATCCAGCACGACGACCACACCCTCCTTGAGCTGCTCGTCAGTCAGATGCTCAGTCAGATTTGTCTTGACCAGGTCAGCGCTGATTTGCGCGTTCGGTGCCGTCTTAAGAACATGGTCCAAGTGGACCTCACTCTTGCTGCCGTAGAGGTAGAAGGGCATCTTGGCTGGGTACTCGTCATCTAGCGCAGCGAACGCCATTGACTCATCAACCACCACCCGCACATTGCTCAGCGCGAAGCTCTCCTCCAACGGCGGCGTATCACCCGCGGGGATTCCCTTGTCCAGTCTAAACTTGAGCTTGGATGCGGTATCGGGATTGAGCAGACCATCGAGTAGGTTCTCGAGCATCTCTTTCTCCATGTTGGCGATGGTGTAAAACTGGCCAGGGTTCTTGCTGCGCTCCTCTTTGTACCGCGCCTGCACGTTCGCGGGGAGGTCAGCCGTAATAATAAGCTGCTTGCGATGGTTGGCCATGTTGAACATGGCGATGTGGGTGAAGTAGAGCTTCTCTAACCCCTGCACGACGAAACCGTGGAAGTCGGGAGTCCGCTTATTGCGGATGATGACACGATTCACGCCGCGCTCAGCAATCTTGCGGAACTCCTCGACCATACGGCTCATGAAGTCGGGGCTTGTGGGCCATGGGCTCATGGTCACGTTGACCAGGAAGCGTAAGCTACCTCGCGAGGGCTTGACGTTCCCTTCTTTGTCGGTTGTTTTGAGACCCAGGCGAAGTTTGAAGGTCTCTAGGCACTTGCCGTACGCCTTCTCGCCAAACTCGGAGGATGTGAGGAAGAGCGGTCGTTCTTTGACCACGTCCTTCTCGGATGACACGGAGAGCTTAGAGAAGATCCATTGGTTGAGGTAGTTGGCTTCGCCCTAGTTGACCACAGTCCATCAGCGTCTACACGCAACGTGGGAGGGCGAACCCCTGTCTGAGTGGGTGGAAGTTAACTCACCACATCCTGATTCACCTCATTGTCAATCGTGAAGTTGGTCGCAAAGGCATTGATCATGAGATCGCCTCCCAGTTCACACAGCAGATCCCAGGCCTTTTTGTCCTCAAACAGTGTCTTGTTATCACGGCCGAGGATATTCTTTCGGATGTAGTCTTTCTGGACCTCAACACCGATGCCTGGTGTTCTCTCCGAAGGAAGACGAATGAGAGGCACAACGATGAGTGAGTCAGCGGGCCGATCCTGGGGCTTCGGCGTCATTGTGACCCAGTGGCAATAGAGCTGTTGGAGAAAACTGACGTTAGCCCATAGAAGGATACCTAGAAGCAGGGAATTGAGGGTTGAACAGACCTTTGTGCACGAGAAAATGGCCTCGCCGAGCAGTCTGCCATAGCCTTCCTGATCAAGTCCCAGCGTTTGGTGGGTAAGCCAGGTAGCGACAGCTGATGCGCCAGGCTTGCTTCCCTCAACACCGTAGACGCCCATACTGCCCTTGTCGTCGCCGGGGTGGAACACAATGGGACTCGTCCAAGTCAGGAGATATCGCATCCTCCCATCTCGGTAGCAGAGTCCGCCGGCGGGATAGTTGATGTATCCCGATCTGCGATAGTGGATATTAGAAAAGGCAAGGAAACATACAAAGCACACCCATTAGGGAGAAGACTCACTTGTGCGGATCGATCGTTATGCTATCCGCGTGCTTTAAAGCCTCCAGCTGTGTCTTGGTGTATGGATTCAGGGGCATCGCCGGCACGTACGGGATGTCGCCCGGGCCACGGCCGTCACGTCCCCACAGCAGTGAGGCAAAATAGCCACCCCATGCGGCATCACAGTGGACGGCGAATGACACACCTTCTTTCTTTTGGTACTCGTCACGGATCTTGATGATCTCAGCGAGTGGATCGCACGCGCCATGCTCTGTGGAGCCCATGATGGCGACGACGCCGAAGATGGGAGTGTTGTTCCTGATGCACTGGTCGAGTTTGGCCCTAAGGTCTTTCGGGTTCATCCGAGCCTCGTTATCGACGTTAATGTCGACGAAGTTTTCGGATCCAATGCCCGAGATGGCTTTTGGGAGCCTGTCAGCGACATGGATGCTTTATCTACGTTGATAAATGATAGAGTAACCCACCTCCGCCCTTGGGCCAGGAGTAATGCTTTGTCGCACAAATCATGTACTTTCCTGGATTAATTTCCAACTTGCGCTCCAACTCATCCTTGCCCGTCGTCTGGACCAGGTACGGCCTCAGTGCGTCCTGAAGGAAGCCCGGGCTGATGGAGTACTTCTCACCTAGTAATGTGGGGATTGAGAGCACCGTGGATGGCGTTAGGTTTAAGAGCTCCTTGTTACTGAGTTCCATGAACTTCTTCGAGCCGGCGTTGCACGTTTCGACCTCGAAGGGCGGCTCGACGACGCTGAGGAAGTTGAGGGGACCTTTCTCGATGGCGAGCTTGAGGGAAATTGGGTAGAACTTGAGGTTTCGCGCTACATGGAGGGAAAGAGAGGATAATTAGATCATGTTCCTTGCGTAAAGAGAAGCAGGGAACCCATACTTGCCCAAATGGCCTCAAGATTGGCTACAGATCCATCCTAGTAACATAAAGAACGTGTTAGAAATGATGAATGTCCCTTGACATGAACGTGAGGGGCGGGATCTATGAGCGGAGTGACTTACGCAGGTGATGTGCCCCCAGGGAGCGGGGTTCTCGTCCTGACGATTATATCCCAGCATCTCAGAAAGTTCCTGGCCGACCTGTCTCTCGACTTCGGTTGTGTATGGGCTTGCCTCGGTTGCGACATTGTTGGGGTTGTAAATCATGGTCGACATGTCTTAGAGCCACAAGCGTTAGGAACTGCATTTCAACTGTGTGAACGCTGACTTACACCCAATGATGCTCGCCAGCGTGGTATCCATGTTCATATGAGCATTGTACCGAGGCGACCAGAACGGTACAGAATGCTTCGCCAGCTTGCCCGACAAGTCTGCCGAGTTCTTGCTGAGCCTATGAATGCTTTGCTGGTAAATATCTAATTTCTTCATGTCCTCTGTGATGAAGATATCCTTGTCATTGTCGCCCGCGAGTTCGATCCGGGTCTTTTTCTGCCGCAAGAGGGCCTGGCTGAAGAGCTTCTCCAGGACGTCGAGGTTCTCAGCCCGCGGGCCGAGAAACCACGAGCTGACGAGAGCATGTTTGGCCTGGTTCTCGTCGATGTTGCCGGGTTGTGTTCCGTTAGCTGGCATGGTGGATGATAGCTGATGAAGTTGCTTTGGAGTCAGCTACTCGCAGAAACTAGTTGAAGTTGTGTATATAGGTCAATAAATCGAGTTCCGAGCAGGTTTGACTTCGTGCTCGTAGTTGTGCTGAGCGACTGAAGGCTGGGCGAGATATATCAAGTTCGCCAGGGCGACGACATCATAGCATCCTGTATGCATTCGGAAATAGTATCGGAACCATCGAACAGGCGCCAAGCCTGGGAAACTACCAGCAACGTTGAGATTCTGATCGGCGAAGTTGGCGCCATTTCCCTTCACGGGTGAAACCGGCTTTCAACAACAAACAAGCAAACAAACCCCGCAAGCGACAAAAGCTCGTCACCCCTCGAAGTTCCCTTCCGCCTTGATCACTGCATACATATGGTCCACCTTACACAGCAGATCACCCCGCACTAGATGATCTAAGAGCAGACCATCTCGACATGAGTCCCATCTGTCTTGTATGATTTGTCTCATTTAAA